ATCGTCAAAATAATAACAAACCAGCAATCGTTCCAAATACATATTGAATAGAATTTTATTATAAAATTCCTTGTACTGTAAATGGAATTTTTGTTCAAACAAAATGTAAAAAAATAATTAAATGTTAAGACAATACTTACACCTAATCTAAAAAGGTCAATTCGAGGAAATCGGTTGAAGATGTCTACTAATCTGATCCCATATAATCCCTATTTGCACACACACACACACACAGTCGCATTTCACACATATTCAACACACACATAGCCCACCTGGGTTTTATAATAACTATGTTGAGCAGACGTTGTTACCCTTTCTGGGAAGAGCGTGTTATCTTGCGTGATCAACGATGAAATGAACTTCGTGCAAAAACTATATAATTTTTCGCAATTTTTCCGTCCATTATCTTTTTTTAAAACAAAAAAAATTTGTATTCAAGCACTTTTTGAAATCAGTTGAAAATGTGGGATCGAAAAATATATACGTTCACAAACATTCACTTCCACACAAATCAACCATGGTGAGAACAAAACCTGGGACTTATAGTCGGAATGAGAATTTATATATATATATATATATTATGAATATAATTTTCATACCAATCTCTTTATATATTCATTTTTTATACAAATTATTATCTCCTATATCATATATATTTAAAATATATATATATAATATATATATATATATACAAACATTTTTTAAACACTTTAAAAAGATACTTTAAATTATTTGAACACGGCCAAAATTTTTTTTATTGTTTAAAAAAATATTTATTTATTTTAGATTTACGCTTAAATATTCTATGCATTCTTTTAAAAAAAAAAATCCTCATACTTGATAATGGCTAAAATTACAGGGGATGCCTTTTTACATCGGATTTGGACAATTTCTTATATAGTTTAAAACCTGTCCAAAAAAATGAAAACGAAATTAGTCGTTTTTATTTCTCGATTCTCGATTATATATATATATATATTTATATATATATAAACATATATATTTTTTTAATATTCGGTTTTATATCTCCTTTTTTTAATTTATTTGTTTAATTTTTTTAAATAAACAAATAAAGCGCAGTGTGAAAAATGTTGTCCCTTTTTGTATCTCAACAAACCTTAATTTCTTCAAGCTGTTTTAAATCAAAACTGATTCAAATTTTACAAATTTTAAAAAAATTTCAAAATAACTTTTTTAAAAAATAAATTTAAATATATAATATATATATATTTATATAAAAAGAATTCTTCAAACCTTTTAAAATATATATTATTTTATTTTCCATAAATTTTATCAAACCGCTATTTTCCGGTCTCGCCACCTTCATCAATTTTTCATTTAATATTTTTTTCTAATTTCATTTTTCTTATGTTTTCGAAATGTTAAACATTCTCGATCTCTAATGTCTTCTCATTTGACTGTTAGTGAAGGGATCTTAAAGAATGGTTCTTTTAAATGAAAATAAAAATTTATCTGCAAAATAAATGTAAACAAACTTTAAGATTGGCCGAAAAAAAGGAAAGATATCCATATTCTTATCTTTTAATGACAAGATAAAATAATTTATTATTTCAAATTTTTTTAATTTTTTTTTGGACGTTTCT